GATGATGGACTGGGGGCTTATCCCTGTTTTAAAGGAGCCCAAACTAATAAATGAGTGATCATGTAAATAATAATTTTGATTAGCTGATCAAATACCTGAGTGAGCATGCCTTCAAGGTGAAGTGCGTTTTGGATAAACCCTTTTTACTAATTCAAAAATTGGGTCGGGTGCTGTATCATATGTTTATGTCTTAGAGATAGAGATACATTTTAAAGCAGATACACCATGTTGTTTGTTTTGATGACGAGTTGGATATAGAATGGAATTAAGAGCTTTCGTGCTATGGTGTTTGGTTGATGGGGATGATATTCAGTAGACCTGGAGATTGTTTTCACCGCAAAGTGATTTTTATTAACAGATTAAATGACAAGTGACCAATAAATGGAAAAACATCTAATATGATTGTAGTGGGACACCGCCTCTAAGGACCATGCCCACTGACTATATGTTTGCCTTTTGTATTTTGTGTTCCCAATGTTTATTCCATTTTCCCTTGTACTCTGTGTTTCCCCATGTATCTACATATTATCTATCTGTTCTATGTTAAATTATATATATATTGTGTATTAATATTGTTTTTGTATTTTATTGTACCCTAATGTATCAATGCAATGTTTTGTGCACCCAGGACTTGAAAACGAGAGAAATCTAAATGTATCTTTCCTTGTAAAATATTTTATAAATAAATAATAAATATGTAACTGTATTATATTCATGTCTTTTGCCTGCTCCCCGTTCAGGAGAGCTCATACGAACGGGTTCTGTTCGGCTCCCGAACGGGACCACACTGATACCCCATTTATAATGTTTATTTAGAAAGTACACACCTCACTAAAGAGGTGTGAAAACCGCAAACCGCAAGGGAAACAAGCAGCGCGTGCTTCCCCTGGGTAGCCGCTGGTTCGTAAAACGCACACTGTCTCAGGTCCCCGTGTCGGGTATCGTCCTACCCGCTTCCAACGGAGCTATAGTCACTGGTTCCCCCCCTTTTGCAAGGGAGCTACAAGGCTAGGCTCGTAGCTGCCTAGGAGAGTGCTCGCCAGCAGGGAATCTCTGGAGCTGTGAGTCGGTGTCATGGCCGCAGACTCCCGCTGGCCGCATGGAAGTCCATAACAATCAATGGGAGAAGAAGAGCTCATTCAAACTGGGTTTGCGCCATTCTTCTGATTTATCGGCATGAAGACTGGGTGCTGATTGGTAGCTGCGGGACGCAGGCAACCAATGAGCGAAGGAGCGCCCATTCAAACAGGGTTTCATGCCCTTTCTCCTCATTGGGCGGCAAAACCCCCTCCTCCCCGAGCGCCGATTGGTGCAACCGAGTTTCACGCCCTTTCCTCGGATTGGGCGGTGAAACTCCTCTCTTCCCCCGAGAGCTGATTGTCGCGATTTGTTTTGCACCCTTTCAGCTGATTGGTTGTTGCTTGGTTCAAATGCAAAGTTTGAATTCACCAGACTAAACCAAGCAACTTCATGGAACTAATTTCGGGGATGTACAGAGCCTTGAGCCCTAGATTTTAGATGCTGATATCTCTGGCTCTGTACATCCGATAGCCCTGCTATTTGCAGGGATCCCAGATAGGATCTGGGGCTACCTAGCGATATAGGTTTCAACCCTGTAACCCCTTCCCGGGGCGCCGATCCACAAAGTTTACCCCCCGTATATAATGTGTTTGAATGTATGTCCCTGTGTCCTGTTGGTATCTCTCAGAGCGGGAAATTGCTATCTATAACACAACCCCCCTCGCCCCCTCCCCCCCCGCCTGGGATTGTGTTGTATTGAATGGAAACCCACTGTGCATAAAAGAAGACTGTTTTTCAATAAAGATTGTCAGTCAGTGTTTTAACCTCCAGAACTGTGTTTTGTCTGGTTACTGGAGGGAAGGAAGATTTAATCCGTGTATGCTGTTCCAGCTTGCAGGGAGATGCAATGGGGAAAGTCCTCGTAAGGACTAAGAGAGCTAGTTCCTCATAGTTTCCCCTGGCTCCACCTCCCTCTGGCAGAGGTACCCAGAAGGTGTACAGGGAGCTCTGCTACAATGATC